TATTTGACTGAACAAGATATGTTTTCATACATTTTCGACCATGCCCTACAACATGCAAATAACAGTTTCTTAGATCGACGATTTCGAACTTCCGGTGTCAGAGGTGACGCGTTACGATTTTTTGCCGAAATACATGAGATGATACAACTTCTAAAGTGACTAAATAAGATAAAACCACCTTGTTTAATATCATTTAGTGTACAAACATATTTGGATGCAGATCAAATAATAATTTGCGTTCCATTAAAGAATATCACAGAAAACTAATTCACATGTAATCAAAACATGTGAAGAATGAGAATAATTGGAAGTATAATTAAAATTAAAATTTAATCTCACGTTTATGCGCGCATACGAATTATTTTGCACAAGATACTAAATAAGCCAGACGAGGTGTGGGTGCAAGTGTAGGTGTTCCTTCTTCCTTCACCCACACATCCACACCTGAATCTTGCAGTTGGTTTTCAATGTGTTTTATTATAGAAAATGAAACTTTAAAACGATGCTTAAATTATTTTAAATTCAACTTTTATATTTGTTGTTAATGTTAAGGTTTTATATATTAATACAATTTTTTTTTCACCACAGAAATTTACTCATATCTTTCATATTGTATACAAAAAAAAAAAAAGGTGCTGCTCGATCAGTCAAATATAAATCAAACACACTCATTAAAGCTAACTTGAGTGTGATGGAGAAAAGAAAAAAATTCAGAAGAGATTGTCTACTATGTAAAACGGTTGCTCAAATTCTATCTCTGCAAGATCGACTGTTATTTCAAGATCAGATAATGTTTGTGAAAGACAAGCTGTCACACATTTTTTCTCATAGGATCGAAAACTTTATTTTTATTTGGTTAAATGCAAACATGCATAAAGCTGATAAAGACACACAAAATTCAATACAACAAATTTCAAAGACTGCTAGGGTGTGGGTGTGGGTGTTAGTATACGTCCTCCCTTCACCCACACCCACACCCACCCCTTCTTCATTCCTTGGCGACACCTGTATAGACAAATCAACTGATTACTCAACGAAGCGAATCATATATCGAGATATCTTTTGCTCAAATAATTTGTGTATGTTGTGAGGAGAGTAAAAAGTGTTTCTTTCTTACTTTTATTAGCAAATGTCGCAATACTTGTGGTCAGCGTTTAGGGAAGTCCAACGAGGCACGGGACAAAATTCGACACCCTTATAGAGTTACATGAAATTATGTAATGGTAGATTGATTTAGCAAGAAAAATTAGCCACAAATGGAGAATGAATGTTTGAAAAACACAACTCTTGCTAATTATTTGTGTTCTTATCACAATCTCCTAAAATTTTAGGCGTCTGACATTATATTTTAACAAATGATATAACTCGAAGAAATTTTTATCATTGATAGAGGCCATTGAGAAATTTTGTTAACTTTTTTTAGTCAGAACTGATTTATTAAAATAATGCGCGGTATTACGAAGTTTCAAAAAATAGAAACTTTTTTATGGTAGGATCAGAGTTTAACATGTTGCTATAAGATGAAACGGCATTCGAATACATGTTCTACAAATAAGTTGTTCAATTTTACTCATGCTTTCAGAATATCAGCTCATTTTTCAACAAACATGGCTGCATCGAATAAGCGACCATTACCGGTTTCGTCTTTGTTTAAGGATCTATGATGATGAGCTTCAATAATGCCGTCCGATGAGACCCTTAAACAAGGTCGAAACAGGTCACGGCTGTTTATTCTTATTTCTAAGAAGTTTGATTATCTTAACATATATGCTCGATGGGGGGAAGCAGCCGACTTCAAATTTCAAGACTTCAAAGGACTTCAAGTGACTTCAACAAGAAAGATATCAAATTTTCAAATGGTTTCAAAAGACTTCATTTGACTTCAGGAGGATTCATGTGACTTCATAAGATCTCAGGAGACTTCATCAGACTTCAAAAGGGAGGTCTCATCTGTTTTTCCTCGATGACTTCAGTGGAAAAGCGTCAAGAAAGCTGAAAACTTGGTCAAAATGCTACAACATGTAAAATATAAAATTAGATCAAATTTTTATTTGAAAAACTGCATGAAACAAAATTAAAGCCTTCAGCTCTATTGGACGCGCTAAAGATTGATTCGTCTATTGTTGAAGTGGAAGGAAGGAAAATTCATGTGAAATACGAGGACAATCAACGTTGTAGATGTGATTATGTACGATCGTTTACGGTGGTCGTATATAAGTCGTATTTCATTGTGTAGGACATGACGATATACGGTTGTAATTATGGCGGCAAGTGATACGGCAAATCTGATGACATACGGTCGGAATTTAGGCTGTATACAACTGTACACGATCGTGCACGACGCTGTATACGATTGTTTATGACTGTCGTAATGTTTGTCCTGGATACTTTTTTTCATAGAACTGCAGGTAAGATTTTCTCGTAAAGAATTTAATTAAATTGTTTGTCTTGTGTCCTTAGATAAATATGGTTATGCCAATGACGTTTCCAATGTCGTCGAAATTGTGGGGTGGGTGTGGGTATGTTTTTGATCGTTAAACACTCACACTCGCACCCTAAGGGTGCGGGTGGGCTCTTCAAAGTGTCAGACCAACACCCACAATCTCCTTGTGTTTTTATCAATTTATTCTCTTCACTGTCAGCTAGTAGACAAACCTCGCTATCAACAGACCATTTATTGAGCAAATTAGATATTTATTATTTTTAAAGCATCCAAGTCATCGCTGAAAGGATTACAAGACTCATATTAATGTTTTTCAAATTCGTTTCACTCTTCGAACAAGAATATAAAAGACATCAACGCATAAACAAAGAATAAAAAGCATGCATAAGTTACCATTAAATTGTGGGCGTGAATAGGTGTGGGATGTAAGTGTAGGTGGATACAATGTTATAATCAAACCCACACCCTTATACAAAAATTATTACAACGATTCTTTTTGAATAGCTTTCTTTGCAAATATTGCTCGATAAAATAAAGTATTTCAGTATTTTAGTATTATTATTAAATGCCAGAAATTTTTCAGAGACTAAAGTTATGAGGTCAAAGCATTTATTAATGACTATACATTGTCGTTCTCGAAACCCTTTGTCTTCAACTTGATAGGAATTGATTCGATGACGAATTCGATGGACTGTTCATCTAAACTATGGTTTTTACATTTGTTATAAAAGGGAAGGAGGATTCTACTACTTTGCTATAGTATCTTGAGATAACAGTATTCCATTTGTTGATAGAAATACAAGGGTAGGGCTTGTTCTACGTCTCGTATGAACAACTATAAAGCAGTCCAGAGGAATATTTTCATCAATATTTCCTATTGAGAAAAAGCTCAAAACACTTAAAGTTTTTTATATTGATTTTAAAAAACAGAAAAGCTGCTTAAGCATTGTTTTCCTAGATAGAAAATATTGATCAAGACAATAGAAGATCTTCTTTTTTTGTTGTCACCTAGGTGTGATTGCGTAGGTAGGGATAGGGATGGGTGCGAATGGGTTTAACTCAATAGAAGACTTCCACTCACATTCGTATCCAGACTCATCCACACCCACATCCGACACCCACACCCTGATTTTGAGCTACGAAACCTTGAGAGTCCGAAAATGAATAAGACTTCTCTTTCAGTTGTGTTTAACAAATTTGAAAGTAAACAATCTTTTGTTTAGACGATCAATGTCTCGTTAACCTCAATGTTAGGAATGAAGCGGTAATATATTACCTGATTTGCGGCTATTATGATCGAGTTAAAAGACCTAATTTCAGATTTAGTAGAAAGTTAAAAATAAACAAAATAAAAAAATATTTTAAATGAAACCATTTCTAGTCCTAAGTGAACCAAGCAAGCAAATAAAAAAAATCTTTGCTTGCTGCAGAAGCATCTTTAGTATTGACTGGCAGTTGTTGTTTTTGCACACCATCGAGACATTTTAAAATAATCCAACATGATTTTTAATGCTTCTTTTGTTCCTATTCTTTCCAAAGCTAACAATGCATAACCATTAACATAGTGATTTAGATCGAGATAGAGCGCTTCTTTTAATACAGGTATTGTTTGAACTGCTTTGGTGCCAATTTTAGCAATAGATAATGCGGCAACAAATCTGGCATGAGATTTTTGTTTGGAGTCATTCTGCTCATCTCGATTAGACAATACATTTGTCAAACATTGTATAACTTCATCAATATCATCTTGTCTGTTCGACTGAATCGTTCCCAATACTTCACAACAGTATTGTTGGACTAACCATGATTTACTTGTTTGTACAACATCGATCAAATAATGGTAATGTATCAAGAGCTAGTGATCCCTTTTCAGAAAAGATAAATGCTATACAATATGCTATTTGTTCTGTATTTTTTTTCTTCTCTTAACACTTCTTCTAATTTCGTAATAACATCTTTACTATACCTACATGCTGTTAATGCATAGGTTGCTTCAAAACGAAAAATTTCTTCATCGTCATATAATCTATTTATTAATACATCGTACTCATTGTATAATGCTAGGTTATAAGCGGCATTAAGACGAATCTTTCCATCTAGATCACTTAATAGTGACGCTCATCGGGTAACATCATTAGATGTAACGAGTGCTTCTGGCGCTGCTACGAGACGACCGAGCATCCAATTCCATATATGTTTGACAACCGGCTGCAATAAGCCAGCATCTATTGCATCGTAACTGGCATTTGTGGGATCATGATTCCACGTTGGTTAAGTAGGTTCTTTCATTCTATTAAATTGAAACTTGAACATAAAACGATATGAACTGCTTGATGTATTTGCTGTTCCTCTATGTACAATATCATAATGAATTAATACCATAGTACCAACCCTACAAACAATATAAATATCGTTCTTATCATCGTTCTTTGCATCACTATTTTCAAGTGTTTTATTGTGTTGATATATTTGTGGATCCATAACATCGTATTGCGTTCGAGGTTTAATACTTGTAGGACCTATCTCAATGGTTGTGTCTTGAGGATAATACATAATCATTACATAGCGTAACTGATGATGACGAAGTAGTTTTCGATAACCAAAGAAACTATCTTTATGCCATGACTGGTCGTCTGATTCTGGACTCGTTAAATGAGGATGTCGATGAGGTTGCATAGCGTAATTTGAACCTAATAAACTCTCTAATGCACCTGTAATTACTGGATCATCGAATAGACGTTGAAGTAGAGGAACTCGTGGAAGAATATTATTTCCTGGATTGCCTTCTTGCTGAACTACAGATAAAGTTTGTGTAAATATTGTGGAATGAAAATTTTCATCGAGAGATTTTGGCTGGAGAAACAAATAGCCATTGATTAAAAACTCTTGTACTTGTCGATCTGTCAATAAGACAGGAGTATCCATGTTTGATTTTGTTATGAATACTAAAAGAGAATCATTATAAAATGCGTAATTTTAGTTTAAAAATTTTCTACATGGGTAGATTAAAAAAAGTCATCGAAAAACAAAATATACCAGTGATGTTACCTTCGCTGTTGTCTGCTATACAATTTTACTTTTGTTGAGTAATGCAGAGGTAAACCACATGACTTACACAAACGAACATTGCTTTTTTTTTGGCGCATATACAAACGTCTATTAATACATTGCTGTAATCTAAGATGAATCATTGGTGTAGACGAGAGAAAAAAGAATGATAAAGTATTGCCATGTGTTACCTACAATGCACATATAAAGGAAGAAAAACTAAATGGATCTAATGGCGTACAAGAGAGAGAAGCACATTTATCTTCAAATAGTATATAATCAAGAAAACTGAATAGAAGCAAGGAACTCAATCGAGCTCGGATGAAAACACTGTATATTTAGACAAGTCAGATGACAGAACCATTAGAACCTGATTATGCTCGACGTGTATGTAAAAAGAACTTCCTCATGTTTAGTATCACACAACAAGAATAGGATTAGGTTTAGTACATGTTACATAATTGAGAATAAATGGAAACCTTTAGTTGTGTTAGGCAAGGTTCATCAATGACCGGTATGTGTTGATGTGAAAGATTCGTCTTAATGCCGCTTATAACCTAGCATTATACAATGAGTACGATGTATTAATAAATAGATTATATGACGATGAAGAAATTTTTCGTTTTGNTAGAAAATGATGCCGGACACTTTCCAGTGTCTTTCATTCATGAAAATTTTTGTCTTCGGAAAATTAGGACTTCATCCTAGATAGAATAGCAAAGACAGTTTTCTGGAAAAACGAAACAAAAATTTCGACACCCTGAATCCCTGAAAAGAAAAATTTCATGAATGAAAGACACTGGAAAGTGTCCGGCATCATTTTCTATGAGACTGTTTACATGGCTACCAACGGTATAAGCCGTTTTTCGCATAGATGGGGAACGGTTTTTTTTTTCGTTATTTTTTTACCATTTTGTAGAGAATAAAAAGTTATATAACATATCAAAAATTCAGCTTGGGGATTTTTGATTTCGCAAAATGGGAGCAGATATACTCCAAAAAATTGGACGTTATAAAATGGTGCCTTGAGACCTTCTCCACTCATGTTAAGCCCAGTGAATAGATTATATACAATTTTTTAAATAGCTCATTTTTTTCAGTTTTTCATGTTCTATCTTTTGATATATGGCATGAAAAAATTCTCTGAGTTGTTAAAGTATAATCTCAGTAAATATCTCTGAGAAAACTTTGATTATTTTTTTGGCAGTCGGTTGGTACCGCTAAAAAGTCGGTATAGGCTAACTTTTGTATAGAACATCCAAATGAGCTAAAAATTTGGGTTTAGTGGTTTTAGATGATGTGCTTTCGAATGCGCATAAAAAATCGAAAACTTATTTTTATCGAGTGCTTTGTATACTTGATGGGCTGATGGACCCTCGCTTAAAAATGTTCATGTGAAAAGATTTGTCGACAAAGGTAATTCAGAGACAAAGATACATTTAAAAGAACAATAGATCTTGAAATACTGTTGACTAATATCATTTACGAAAAACTCTATTATTTGTTAACATAAGAGAAGAAATATACAAATGTTTGTTTCATTTTTAGCTGCAAATGGGATTTAGTAGCTGATTATAAAGAAGCAATGCGACACTGGGCTGCTCTAGTAATCATCATTCTGCACGAAATTTCACATATCATCCGCCGTGTAGAACTTCCCATCACCAATAATGTAATGAGTTCTACAACACCAGCAAAACTATTAAATGGGAGATTGATAAAAGAGGCTGGAAATCAATTGGAAATTTTATTATTCGGAAATGTTATCAAGTCTATTGGTGATCTGGATTCAATATTTCTATTGAAATCAACAAGTTGGAATATACCAACAATTGAAGAATTTCACAAGCAGTTCACAGATCACATCGAAGAAGATATTCGACAACAACCAAACAACGATGAATCATATCGATTAACAATGCCGGGCAAATGTGGTGATCTTGATCATTCGAACGACAACAATCAACAATACAATGATCGAATAAATATTGGAAATTGTGCTACAAGTATCTGTCAACCACGTTCAAACTTATCATTTGAAGGTAATCAGAAATTCTTCGTTTCGTCATCATTGAGAAATCTTGTTGTCTTTTTTTGTAGATTTGAGTTATTTAGATTGTCGTGATTTATCTGAATGATCATCAATCACTTTCCGATAATCAATTTAGAGATACTGTTCAGATATTTCATTGACTATTCATTGTTAATCATCTATTCGTTTCGAATAGAATTATGAAAATATACTTGTGAATAGATCAATTATGAAACAAAAATCATTCTGCTTTTTTTTCAATTGTGATCAAATGTTCTTCGATGAAAGTTCTATTCTGATATTTGATCTTTTACTTGTATTTTTTTTCTATGTTTACTTACATCTATTTCATGTGAAGGACAAAATGTGTGTTAAATTCGTCTCCTGTTATTTCATAATAAACATATTAGTCATTTTTTGTTCTATTTATCTTTACTGTGGTAGATTTTTTGTTTCGAATTTTTTGATTCTGACGCATAAATTGTTGTTTGTTTGTTTGACATAAAAGCAAAATTGAAGCAGACCCATCATTGTCTATTAGTTAAATAACAGCAATAGACAAAGAAAGAATATCAGTCCTATGACTGTTAAACAATAAAAGAGAGGCTGAAGAATATCTAGCTATCGTACAGTTTGAATACAATTTCAAACCAAAAGTCCACTTGCATTAGTCAAACAAAATATTGTTAATGGGAATAAATAGAATAGAAAAGTGCTACCAATACAAAGAGAAAAAAACTGATTTTTTTTTAAATTTTCAATCAATTTTTAATAAGAACAAGTCTGACTTCAGTGTCTTCATTGTACTAACATCATTTATCGATCAAATTATCTAGTTGAATACTCTGGAAAATCTTGAAAAGTATTTTTATTTCTATCAGATCAATTTAATGGAAAACTTCACTTAGAATGATCAGATTTCTTTTTGTCTTTGTTCGTGTCGAGATCTAAAGGGATGAGTAGAGATACGACCGGAAAAGATCATTTGAGATCAAAACATTTGTTCATGATTGAAATCATCAATGTGAAATCACAATGACATTTGTTTTTCTCTTGGATGAATGTAATGATTTTCGTTGAAAAGATTCCAACGAAAGTGATAAAATAAATTGATATATCTTCATTATCAAGAAGATTTCTTCCAAAAAACATTCAATGAATCTTCTCCAGTCGAATTTGATTGAAAGAAAACAACTTTTTCTTTTTCTTTTTTTTCTGCTTCTCATTTGATTCGATTGATTGATTTTGTGATTTTTTTACTGAGAAAAGAGAATTAGTCATCTGAGAGATTTCGTAAAGAAATGAAATCTTTTATAGACCAAATACGAATACAAAGTGTCAAATAAATCAATGATGATTCGTCTCGTTGTTATTCTTCTTGTTGATTAATCGATCAATCGATGATGATGAGTGATTTTCTTTTGATTTGTGAATTTAGTTGAAAACACAGTGGATTTTTGGAGAAATGTCATAATATCCGTAACTTGGGTATCGAGATTTGAATACCGCTATTCCGATATTCATCGTAATGCAATAATGTATATCAACAGAGGTAACACCGAGGATTTTCCGTGCTTTTGATTGAATGCGATGGAGACTCAAGGCATTGTCGGTATCTTCAGAAGTTGAGATTTTTGAGTGCTTTTAGTGTAACGAGACAGATACCCAAAATTTTAACTGGGTATCCTCGGAAGGTCAAATTTTTCATTGCTTTTGGTGTAACGAAGTGAATACTTAATCATCACCATTATCCTCAGAAATTGAGGATTCTGAATGAATTTGTTGTAACAAGATGAATATTGATATCCTTACCTATGTTTTGAAAAGCTTAGAGTTTGATTGATTTTCGTAGGAAGATAGATATCGAATGAGGTAGTTATATGCCATCGTCACCAGGATATGGAAGCTTCTGTATGCTATGTAGTAGACACGATGTCAGTGTAAAAGGGTACGGGTGCATGTGTTGACGTTGTTTAAGGCGAAAATTATTCAATCGGATTTCTAATCGGATGAAAATGAAACAAATTTGGAATTTAAAACCGATCTTTTCTGATGATCATTTTTTTCTTGTCAATCTTAATCGATTTGAATTTGATCCACCATCAAATTCGATTCAGATCAATTTTGAATTTTAATCCCATCTAAGTCAGATTGGATTATCAGAACTTTTCTCGTTGAAGTCGATTCTTCACCTAATTAAAATCAAACTTAATGGGAATGACAGTGTCATATTCGCTAACAATTCCTTGGTCTATCTCGTTTTCTCTTGTTGATTTGCTTTTTGTTGATCAAATTTCTGAGCTGTTTAGAATCAAGACGATTGTCGATCATCATTCGATTCATACAAGAATGTCATTTCAATAAAATAACCAAAATTCGAACATAAATCTTTAAACTGATCAAGTAAACAAGAACTTTATTTGAAAGCAGGAAAAGGTTATCCAACAACAAGTATTTTATGTACTAATAAAATAAATCGATGGATTTATCAAGGAACTGATGCTACACTATTAAATCAATTGATAATATTACCAATTCAATTATGGGGTTTAGTTATTCAAACAAATACTGATTTATCTTCAGTATTTAAACATATCTCTGTCATATTTGTAAATAAATCTTCTCAATATGATCCATCATCTGATCGAATTCGTGCTTGTTCTATGTCTATTGCTTGATGGACATCCATTAGGTCAAGTTAAAAAATTGAGACATAAGCAAGAATATGCAAATTCAGTAGTTAAATGTTCTTTACTTGCACTTTATCTTCAATTAATGTATCATTTACATAGGACAGTCAAAAAGTTCTGTCACTCAGAACAAATTATTCAATAGAAAGACATTCCATTTCTCTCTCTAGAGCAAATGTGAGAAGTAGTCACCGTGATGTTCGATACCAAGTCCAATTCAATTTTGAAATGTCTTTTCGTATTTATAAGAGGGTATCAAGTTCAATCCTCGGTTAAAACTTTCGTTAAATTTGTTTCTTAAGTATTGCAAACTTACACGAGCTTAAAAGGAATGCATAGGCAATTATGTTAAATGATCACTGGCGATGAGATGTAGATTTACTCTTGCAAGATTGGATAGAAGCAGCAGCCAAAATTGTAAATAGCAGAAGGAAAGAGAGAGCCTTTCACATGCCATTGAAAGAAGACATTATTTGTAATCTGCTTCATAACAACTGAACGATTACTTATTCATCAGGTACATTCTGTGGCGTCTATTAAGACTATCCATTATTGTAATGAATGTTTAAAACTATTATATAAAAAGTTATTAAACAAAAACCCATCATCAGAAATCATCGGTAGTAAGTTTCACTATCACAATGTCAACCATATATAAAAGTTATAGCCATTAATTATCTTAAAGAAGAAATAATGAACTTATGGCTTATTTGCTACTTTCGTCTGACTTTGCTCTTTCAGATTTTCCGTTGCTCAGTTATCCAAGGATTCAACTTGATACCTTCCAATAAATATGAAAAGATATTTCAAAATTGAATTGAACTTGGTATCGAACATCACGGTGACTACTTCTAACATTTGCTCTGGAGAGAGAAATGGAATGTCTTTCTATTGAATAATTTGTTCTGAGTGACAGAACTTTTTGACTGCCCTATGTATCACCTGCAACAGCAACTTATGCACAAACGAAAGCTTTTCTTCAAATTCATTACGAAATCAGTTTATGTTAAATCATCCTCAATGGATGACAACCAATCCAAATAAATTTTTATTCAGTCGCTGTCACTTTGGTATGAGCTATATTATATTTTTCTTAAAAAAATGATTTTGCGTTATACGAAAAAAAGTATTAGCAACTCACGCCCTCTTGTAAATTTGTCTTCCTTTTGAAAGATATATGCAACATGACTCAATGGCGATTTTGTGTGTGTACATGGGCTAATTGCAAGTTTATTGTACCGTTCCGTGAAAAAAATGGATTAAAAAAAGATTTTTGATTTTGAACACGGTGATTAGCGCATTCTATAGTGCTATATGAGAGGAGAATATGAATAAATTTTCCCGACTACCACTATTAAATTGGCCGAGATACGAGAGTTTTTTTTTAAATACTGTTTAAATTCAAGGCCTAATGACGTTGATAGTATACACTGTAGTTGGACTTTCATACAGTATTTTAGATTTTAACGTTGACCCTTTTTTTTGGAATGAGGAACCATGTTTAGTCCAGAGAATTTGCAAAGGCGCAGTCCATTAGAGAATGCACATAATTAGTGACTTTTATCTGCGAATTTATTAGGCTGTGAGACACAAGCTAGGATTAATTCACATGACTGTGGATAATCCTTTAAATATAGAAGTTAAGTGATATATTATGTATCTACTTTGGCTTTAGTTGCGAGGTAGTTATACCCATAAAAATCTCGCGTGGCATTTTTGCATTATTTTTTTCTCTTTTCTACGAGAGACAAACTTTCTAATCCTGATATTTTCAACAATAGCTGACCACAATGAGTGGATAAAATGACCAAAGTTTCAGCTCATTTTGCCATGCCTTAAGAGAGTTAAACGTCAAACAAAGTAACAAAATCTCGCGTGACATTTAGTGTGACAACTATATTTTTAATCTTCATTTCATATTATATATTAATGAAAACTAGCATAACTCTCTCATCGTCTTTGACAACTTTTATCTGTTACCCATTGACTCTCGATCGACAGCAACCCGACCAATGTGAGACGTGTTGTTACATGCCAAAGTCATTTTTCAATCTCGCGTGACAGAAATTTGAGGATTGACTACACATAGGGTATACAAAAAAAAGTGTCGTAAGAAATATCATGGAAGAATCAATCAGTTTTTATATCCGATAAGTATAAAGTGTCAACTCTAATATTATCAACTTTTGAAGTTCAAATGAAAGGAGAACCAATCGTTTATATGGAATTTTCTTCCAATCGGTGGCAGTCAAAATCGAACTATTTAACCTTGTGCTCCTAATATCTCGAGATTTTTCCGAGAGAGAATTTTATGAGTTTTTGTCTGATAGTGGGGACTTATTAGAGGATTCTACCCTGAAAAAATCATGAAGATTGAACGAGAGGAACTTGAGATTATTAAAGATAAAATAACTTTCTTTATTATTGCAAACGTATTTTCTCTATTATCTAAACAATATTGTTCACAAATATGTGGTCAAAATTCCTACTCATATGAAATAATCAACAAAAACAAAACGATTATCATTATTATTAATCCATCTTATCATCTACATTCATTAGAGGTGTCAATTCTGCATGAATCTATACGATAAATCTTACGATATTTAGATAAAGATAATATAATTAACAATGAAATATCTCCACTTATATTATAGAAATATTTTAGAAATTTCAAAAAATGTTTTCACTCTAATCAATATGTATATATGAATTGAATTTCCAAACAAAATATAATAAAATAAAGATGATTTGGTTGAATATTTTGCAAAAGAATAAACATTCTATTCATATCATTTATTCAAATAAAGAAGGTGATACGAAGCAAAAAGCAATATTACTAAGAACATTTGTCTAAAATAGTATTCATTTTACTAACTAAATGATGCTTCTTGATGATTAATAGAAGCAAATGATGTTACTCATTCTACATGATAAAGATAAGGAGCGGGAAATTGTTATGTATTTCCGCTTTTGTCTATTTCTTGTTTACCTTTAAATTAATTATCAGTTTTCATGAAACTTGTTAGTGAAATATTGAACGATCTTAATAATGAAATCTTTGGAAGAAACCATTGATCAGTTTTTTCAAACATTTCATTGGTATTATATCTTAAAAGATGGAGAAAGTTTTTCTCCAAAAAAAGCTTTTCATATATTATAGAGATCAATTAAAATAACAGCAAATCAACTCAGAAGTAATGTTAGAAAAATCGATTGTAGAAATAGAATTGAAAGTTAGATTAGTTTTTCATCGAATTTGTTTTTTAATTCAAAGTTATTTCATCTAAAAAAGTTTTCCACGGACAAGATACTTCGTTGAACAAATCACAAACATAATTCAATGAGTTCTTTCTAATAAAACTACTTCCGGCTTGAAATTTCGCAGTAAGAAAAGGGTTGAAAAACCACTGTTAGTGAGTATAGGGACCCATTGGGCCTGGTACTCGTTAATTATCGATGGAAAAATATGATGATGTTCAAAAGATTTTTATATATTCTGATAGAGAAAAAAAGTTCTGCGTCGAAATGAGTCTATTTTTGTTGAATTTAAATTGGATTTCGATGGACTTTCAGATGAAAAATTGGTTTTCTAGAACTTCCAAAAAAATACTTCCGATATTTGTTATTATTCGACAAGTTCTAAAAAAACTGATAGTTGTAATCAGAACACTGAGCCCTATGAAACTGTAGGAACTTCGAATAGAACGGTGACCAAAATTTTTTTTCGATCCCTGAAGAGGACTCCAGCCATGAAAAAAATGAGACTTACAAAACATAAAATAAAGTTGTGAAAAATAATCAGGGATCAATGCTGATTTTTATGATAATAAAATTAGATGTAGATTTTTTGGGATGCGAAGTCCATAATTTGGCACATCTCCTTTGCTAGTTTTTCCTAGAAAAATAATATAAATATTGACACATTTGAATTTCTTTCAAATGAAGACCTTCGAAAAACATTGTTTATTATTTATTTTTAAGGATCGATGGAAAAATGAGAATTTTCTATGAACATATATAGAGTAAAACCAATCTCGTTTAAACATAAAGACAAAAGTGTTGAGAAAACTGAGAATCAAGAATATGGATAAAACTCTAACATCTATTCTTTTAATCACTTTTCATGTTAATATCTTATAGTTTTTTTCCAAATCTTAATTTTTATGTATTGATTTGTTTATTGACGATTTTGTTTTTACTTTTATTTCGTAAATAAATGTAAATGAGATAGAAAAGTATTTTCCAATCAATATAACATGTTAAATGTCTATAGAATTTATTCGAATAAATCTTTTTCAATGTCATCTTTATTTTAATCTATTAGTAGTTATTTAAGGCATTCGATATAAAAAAATGTCTTACTAATAAAAAGACACAAAGAAGTTTTCTTGTCAATATTATATATAAGAATTCTAATGAACTTCCGATGAGATTTTCTAACAAAATTGATCTTGTACTGGATCAAATAATAGATAGATAGAATTTATACGATAAATATCTCAATGAAATAAAATCATTTATAATTTTATTTAATCGTTTATTGACATCCAATAAACAACGAAGTACTTCGACATTGTTCAATTTTTTGAAAAGAGTTTTTCTTAGCTTATTAATATCATCATTGTATTTTACAAATTTGATTATTTTTCTTGATGATAATGCTATTTGTGATATGAGAAAAATAGCAGTGGAAAGCATGTGAGCACACATACAACATGTATTTGATAGTGACATCATAATATATAAACATATAGTTTTTGTCTTTCTTATTCTGCTTCATTATCTGTTTACTAATAGGAACAGTTACTGTTTGATGCGTATTGAGGAGAGACGATGCAATATATATTAATACAGCAGCATGATAGTCTCCATCAATGGAATAATTCAAGGCAATTACTATGTGCACTATACAGATCGAACTACGAAAACAATTGCATAACCTTACCTGAAATAATAATGATCACAAAATTTGTTCGAACAGATAAGGATTTAAAAAGAAAGTGTTTTATTTAAAACTATCTGAAATATTGAACTGCAACTTTCAGATACTTTATTATTGTATTTCATGGGAACAGTTATACGATAGTAAATAGTGTGTAGTGCTCTTTCTTTCATCAGAATTCTATGAGAAAGAAACGTGTGATTATAGTCTCACTACACTAAAATTTTTGCTGACGTCACTCTTTCTCATAGAGGTATAGAGAACGAAAGAACCACGTCAGCAAGGCTTGTTTATAAAAGTAAAGCATTGATTATGCACTTCCTTCATCGCAATTATCCGTCAATATCTATAAATAGATTTCTTAGCTGATTGATGCAAAAATTATAATGACGATTTTCATCAAACATAAGTCATGCACCTTTCTCACATGTTTTATATGATGCGCAATAAAAAAAGGAAGTTAGATAACGAATGACGAATGTCCAATTTTCATGTAATCTTTACAGCATAGTGAGTCATTTCGTCTTTTATTTCTTGAAATAGCATCAAATATTTCGTAATATACCTTATTACCTTAGACCTTACGTCAGTTAGTTTTATCTACGGACATTCTAATTCAGATAATTATAGAAATCGGAAATCGTCTTCAATAAGTATTCTTATGATTTTATACTTACCCTGAAAATAGTAAAGTTATGGAAATTTGACGACGCAGACAAATCTTTTTCTATATCTAAAATAAATTGATTTTATTCAAATAAAGAACGAATATTACATTTAATTTTGATTTTCTTAGCTGTTACCTAGACTACAACATTACATTACATTGATGCAATGGATGTGACAGACTGTTCGAAGAAAAGACTCTAACGAATGTTAATCATCACTTGCAGTTCACTGTACGTCCATCAACAACTATTTATCGACAAAATTGATTATAAATATGTTTTGAGTGAAAACTGATTTTTATGAATATGTCTGCTCATTCTATGATAGTGAATTTGAAGTTCAATCGAAAAATATTAATTAATTAGGCTCGAATAAAAGCTTAATTACTAAGAATAGAGCGAAAATACAATATTCTCAAAAAATAAAATTCGAACATTTTAGATTGGCTTTATTAAATCACTGCTATTGCCAATAATATTCTGGTAAAACTCAAGCATAATTATTTTTTTACTGCTTACAAACATTTCTGGCCTTTTTATAAGTGCTCCTCTAAGATAATGACGAAATCACTGGAAGAGATGTTAGTAAATGCTGAGCCCCTGTAAAAATACTGAATAGAGAAAAAAATGTCGCTGTTCTTTATGCTGAGCAAAAAATTTCACAAAATTAGAGTAGATGTGATAATTTTATCCTAATTTCATCCACAAGCTTAAGCGTCATTAACTTTAATTGTCACATATGAAGGTGATCATGGAAATTCAAAGTCATAAACTTCCTTAGTGGTAGAAAAAACTTAACCAGCAGTACTGTTTTTGACCTTTTATTTGCTTGAAAGTATTTTGACTAATAGACAGTGTCAAACTCTTTATTATTGGTATTCATGAGTTTTTATGAATCTTTACAGCACTGTTTCTAAATCGATACAATGTTCATTTTGATACCCTTGTATGTTGATTGATCTATCGATATTTAGCGAGAAAAAAAAGAAAGGAGGTGCGAAAAAGGAAAGAGAGAGAAAAAAAGAAAGTTAGAGAGAAATGAAAGGAAGAGAATAAAAGAGAGAAAATCAGCAGATGCAGTATATATAAACGATGATAATCACTCATTTTGTCTCATTCAAATACTACCAATACACATCAAACGAAGTAAAGGTGAGTTGTGTGTCTATTAGAGGCAGCAGATCCTGTGCGCCTAATAACAAAGAATCTTATAGGTGTCTAGCAATTAGGAGTGTCACACGAAACCTAAAAATGGATTTAGAGAATTGAAGGGAATTCGAAATAGTTTTAAGGCTTCGTATCAATAAGATTTCCTAGAACATCTTTTCTGTGACACGGAAAGAGACATAAAGAATATAAATATATTTATTGAAGAATTTTAGCCCTCTATGTCAAGAAAAGGTATGCAAAATATCATTAACAATTTATTTTCATTTGTTATAGGACACTATTTATGTTTTGTTTTTAACTCGAAACAACTGTATAGAAATGATATGGCCAACCCAAACCCTAAACCAGACTTCACGAGTGGATGTAGAGATTTCCATATCCATGTTTGAATCTATCTCCAAGCCTCATCTATTTTCACTAAAGCTCAAGTCCTCTCATAGATTCATTAGAAATTAAAATTATTTCGTTTTATTTCTCTATACTTACATATGTTTAACAATTGGAAGGACACGAAATACAACTGTGACGAATAAGAGTGTAGATGAAGATACCATCAAGGCCAAATGATATCTACAGAGATTAACAGAAATTAAAACTACGAAAGGGATCAAGGGCGTGGGTGTGTGGGTGGGTGTGGCTAGGGTGTGGGTGGCTGAAGAAAAGACTAGTATCAACATCTGCACGTACACACCCACACCCACATCCGATCGTCATGCAAGTAACTTGAAATCCATACACTTCATTAAATATATCTGCATACCAGCTGACATCCTTCGTCCCCTATGAGGTATGAATTTTGAATACAAACCCTCAACTACCTTCAAAGATGGGTATGAGCCTTCTGATCAACCCTCTTGAGCAACAACGAAATCTATCAAGAGAGCTCTGTACATATCTACATCCAGTATTCGAAAACAACTAGGTTAATTGGAAAGGCGTTTCACAAAACATCATATATTAGAATAATTATGAAAAAATTGAGCTGATGACACAGTTTCTTGTGCATGCTCATTCGTGAACGAAGATAAATTCCAATATTCATAAGAGTATTAGTCGATTGCTATCTCCTCTAACACCAACGAGAAGACGCCACGGGCAAGCAGCATGCGCAGAATTCATGTCCATACATTCATATGTAGCCATTGTATTATTCCGAATGCCCAATCGTCGTTGATCACAATCAAGGATAAGTTCATAAATCACATTCTCTTTAGCGTTTGTCCATTGTCTTTTTATCATTTTTCCATTCATGTATACATGATCATCAATCCACCATCCATGTGTTCCACAAGTGTCAAAATAGGAGCCCATCATCGAACGTTCAGGTGTTATGCTTGCTGGGAGAATGCCAATGAATGCCATATCGTAGAAAACAATAAAATGAAACCGATGTATACCACTTGTATAGGTAAGACGGCCAAGAGCGCAGGAAGAATGTCCCCAATTACTGGTGCTCTGGCACATTCTTCCGTTGTTTGAGATTTGAAGATAATCACCGTTAGGATCCACAAAGGAATCCGTGCTTCGATGAAAGAAAAGATCATTGATGAAGTCTTCAGCGAATTTAAGATTCTTGACAAAGACGAAAAAGTCATGTTCGACATCCAGTAGTGGTTCAAATGTTCGTTTCTTTGAACTATCCAATGACCATGAATGAAGTTGTTTGACGAGATGAGTAAATAACTTTCAAAAAGATAGGAGTATATCAAGCGTTAATTAGACTAATGTGTACTTAATGCACAGATTTAAATCGTGCATAACGACTATCGCTTTATAGACAAGTAATTTCATTTGACTTAACGCAGTACTCTTCTAATATATCTATCAGAGGACAGAAGTTACCAAATACTTTACATAATTTCTCGAGCAATTTTATCAGTCAGATTTGACCAATGGGAGTCTTTAGTTGACTGTCAAATATGTTCTGACAGAAACGCGTTCAATTTTAGTTTGTTTTTTTTTGTGTTGAATCCGACCATTCAATTAATCATCCTTAGAAGAAGGAAATTCTTGTAGGGAGTGTTAAGAAGTATCTTGTGCTATTGTCATAGATCGATCTTTGAAAAAAATTTAGCTACTTTCTTGTTACCTAATTATGTGTAAGACCTAAGTTAGAACTGTTTAATTTGATAAGATAATCATACGACATATCTTTGAACCAAATCGTCAAAATAATGGCGCTTTTGACAGAAAGGCAAGATATTTTCAAATATTTTAAATTGTTGTCTTGATATATCAAACTAAACTCCTTCAGATTTCAACTGCAGTTCAAACTACTAGTTCACTTTGGAGCTTCCGCGTCTCAGCAATTTTCGGTACCTTTGAGGATAATTTGATGCACAGCTTCTTCACTCCCCACCCCCTCGATTCTATATGTACTATTAAGACTAATGATGTTTCATGAGTGTTTTTGTTAAAGCGTAGTATATTCAATTTTGCAAAAAATGAACTAGAAGAGACTTTTCAGTAGTTTTCAAGGTCCCAAAAAATAATAAAATATTTTTAGTGCCTTAAAGTTTCGTCCGCTACATTAAAAATAAGTATGCTAAAATGACTCACTCAGCATATTACTATAAAGTATAGGGTCGATGATCTCGTTGCACTCTCCGAAAAGGTATTCTGAGAAATGGGCAAAAACGAGTCTTCATATTGATCCGAGAACCACACAAAAGTGATTTTCAACGCTAGGAAATTTTATAAAGAGTTTTTAGGATTAATAGGAAAGGTAAATTTGGCTTCAGACTTTTCTGAAATTTCTTTTCGTAGAGAGAAGTTCTTAAAGTAATTTAGATCGCTATTTGAAGGCTTTCAATGGATGATCCTCACTTTTATAAAAGTCCGATGAAAATCATATAAACTTGTGGAATCTATTCTTGAAAAACTTTTCATTAGATACATCTGAAAAACAACTTACTTTTGGATTGTAGTCTAACATAATATATCCATCTTTGTCTGTTGTCAATGTGTCTTCGTTTTGTCCAGCAAATAACTCCGATAGATAAGTCCCGTGAATTAATGTCAATGCCGCTCTGGATACATTCATTCATTGACCCCTCACATTTAAAGAAACAAATGTGGAGGACGTTGTGTTAGCTAACGAAACAATATGAAACTGTTTCAGTTTTCAATGTTTAGAAGAATTGAATAGAAACCTATCTGACTCTTAATTTCTCAAAGTTTTTTCTATATTTCTCAACCTTCTTCCTTCTTTTTTTTTCAACTGCTCTGAGCTACGTCCTTTAAAACCAGCATAATTGTGCAACTTGGTGAGAATATTCATTGAAAATTGTGTTGTAATGATTGGCACCAAAATCGTAAATATGATATTAAAGATTTCGATAGTAAAAGCGGGAACCTACTTATTGACATAAAACCAGACTAGGATGAAAGCGGAGAAGAACTTATTACACGTGGTCTTTTTTTGTTGTCTTAAAGATAAAATAATTTATCATCAACAAGTTATCATTTTTTGTCAAAAAAGAAACACATGTTATTCTCTTCTTCGATATGGCAACATAAAGCATGTAGCTATTGACACAAACGAACCATCATACCTGAAATACTCAAATGGCAATGACAAATCTGGTTTCATATAAGCATTGCTGTGCATGCCGAAGTTCACGTGGTAGCAGGTGAACATCTACGAGTCGATCAGCTTTTTCTGCTTCTACTTGCGGTTTTTTGGAGTAATTCTAGCAATTAAGACACTTTCTGAGATCCGCAACTGAATTCAAACATATCATGATTGCTTTTGCGGACCGAAAATCGCACTCATACGCCTGCTCTTTACCTTTCTCTTTTGCTTGTATGGTTTCATAACGAATTTATTTATTTTCGTATGTCTAGTTTTCTCTGGTTGATCTCTTGTCAACATGTGAAGCGACTGGTCTTATGATCTAAGCTTCTAAATCTCCAAGAATAAGTATTAATAATTTCAATCGAAATTGGAAAAGTAGCAATATTTTAAATTTTTAGAAAAAATCAGTTAATGAACTGGCATGATGAAAATTTTTTCTTTGTCACATACTCCAGTTAGCGTCTTTTTTCTTTGCTAAATCAGAGAAAACATAGGAGTGAATTACTTTGTATTTTAATACATGTTTCGATCATTTCAATCAGATCAGAGCTATTAGGTCGTTCATTAGGATTGTCTCTCCAACATTGCTGGATAAGCTGACGAAAAGACGATGGATTATTTTCTGATATGCTCAAACGACGACCATCAAGCACAGATGCACGAATGTCTCTATCTTGATAGCCATAATAAGGTATTTGACTACTCGCTAGTTCCCAATAAATGACGCCCAAACTATAAATATCGCTTTTGTCAGTATAGTCTTCTAGACGAAAAATTTCTGGAGCAGTCCATGGTGATGTACACATTACAGTTTGGATTTGAGTAAAACCAAAATTACATGTTTTCACAGTATACCCTTCATAAGATCTTTCTAATAAAAAGTTTCCAGACTTTATGTCACGATGCAATACGGGTGGTTGCAATTGATGTAAATAATTGATTCCTCTCGCTGCTTGTAAAGCTATTGACAATCTTTGCAGCCACGTTAATTTCACATAATCTTCATGTAACAAATTGTATAACGATCCCAACGACATGTATTCCATGACTAATATACAGTTATCTGTTTCTATACATGCACCGTAGAAATTTACAATATAAGGAGAACGAAGACGATCCAGGAGTGAAACTTCTTTGAAAAATTTTCTCTTAGCTTCATCATTTAAAGGAGTAACGCATAATTGCTTGACAGCAACTATATGGTGTCTAGTCAGCCATGTAGCTCGATAAACGGCTCCAAAAGTACCAAGACCAATCTGTTCATGAAATTGAAGATCACTGCTGGATATTTGAAAGAAGTCTTGTGAGTTTTCTAAAATTCGAAGCATATTCTAAGTGATAATATCTGTCTCTTTAATGGTTTCAGATAAATTTTTTGTTAATAAACTATTTATAAACTCTCGTGTCTCTAGGATTAATCATTTGAAGAACTTTTGTTCTTTCTACAATTGACTTATCAATAAATTATCTGTACTATTCCACAGTTATCAAGAGGTGAAAATTTGATGCCTTAATGATAGATAACGTTCATCTTATTCCAATATTTCATCAAATTTTTCCGATTAAATGGATAAGATCTTGCATTTTTTTCACGTTCAGAAAGGAATTCGAGCATTTGCCCGAAAATAGAAATAAAAGATCACACATAATAGAGTACAAAGGGCAATTTTTCAAAGTAAAATATGTCACAGCAATTATATCATCGGGCGCCACAGAATAAATTCCCCTATCATATTTTGCAAGTTTTTATATGCTTGTCATTCAATTCTCTACGAAACAACGTACTTTTCGAGCATAGAGTCATGCTAAGAATTATGCATAATGAGAGGAGAGATTTCCTAAAATATTATAATTTACAAGGACAACGATGATAATAGTTGAACAACAGTACGCTGACGATTTTCTATTGTTAAGTCGATCGGTCGATTCATGCATTGCATTTACTGAATAAGCTGTTTAAAAAGTGTAAAATTAGATGTAAAAAGAGAATGGATATCAATTGATAAAATATGTTGTGAGTCAGGCATTTTGAAAGCAGTATAGTCATCCAATTTTGTCGAACTCTCTAGTATGTCATCCTTGCTGCAAAAATAAGACATACTGGAGATAATATCTTCATTTGAAACATTGTTTGTAAATCGATAGGGTGCGCAATAGTCAATGGAAAGCGATTGTTTTTGGGCAAGTCATTGGTGTCAAGTTTCTCAAAAATGATAGAGCTTATCTAAATGTATAAGTTAGACTACATATTGTTGAGAATTGAGCGACGTAATTTTCAACAAAGTGCTTAGCCTGATGCGATGTAAATTGAAAAAGATGTTGGCAAGATAATGAGAGGATCATTTTTTCTGCCAAAATTGATAAAAGAAAAACGAATGTGTCAAAACAGAAGATTGACAGTTGCATCTATCAACATGTGTTGGCATTCCTATTGATTGATTGTTGAACAGTGATGGATCATTGTGTCTAGAAACTACTAAGCAATTTTGATTTTCTCACCTATCTGAATAGCATCAGATTCTTCATAGTGCTTGCCGAGCTCAAGTTTTTTTTGTGTCACGGCAGACTCTTATCATAGTCTCCCTGCATTGAAGCGATCATGCTGAGATCGGCATACAAACTGCGACGCCACAGATCTTTAGGCGGAAGTTCTTCCAGCAAGCGAGTGTAGTACTGTTCAGACAAATCAAGTTTACCCATTGTCCACAATAACTTGCCCAATGTCCATAGATTTGTCTCTCCCTTGGCATTTTGTTTCTTCATGTCTGCCAGAACTTCTTTCAAATCGTGTTCGTCATCACCACATAAGGACATTTGAATTGTCCATATTTTATTGTCATCACAGTTAATAGAGCTGAGATGGAAAATGGAACCAAGCATAAATAGTACTTCGGATTCCTCAGCAAAATAGCTAAAATCGCTGATATCAGCAAATGGTTTCGTCGAAACTACCCGAGGATCGGCATCAATCTCGAATAGAACTCGTTCTAAACTGATTTTTGCCGTCCTATCACCGATATAAAAATCAGCTATTTGAAATTTCTTACTAGTCAAAAGAAATGAATTAAAAGAAACGAACTGTCCAATATTTTGTTTGAGATAATTTAGCTCATCCATTGACATCAACTGATTTCGATAAACTCGAACAGAACATTGAGATTGGTAATTTTGTAGCTGGCGATATATGTCGATGATGAAAGGACGATACAAGAAAATCATATGAATATTTTGCTTGCGTAAAGCTGCATTCAGCGTCTTGTAGAAAAAAGACTCACGAGTGTACCACTGCAAAGCCTTATCAGATGTGTAATCTTTTTGAAATTCACACAGATTGGCGAGTTCGAAATGGTTACCTTCGTATTCATTTTCACAGCAAGAAATGAGCTCTTTTCTGTCTATCTCATTGGATTTCAACCGAAGAAGACAATCGATAAGTAAATGAGAAAAAACGAATTGACCATTGATTCCTGTAGTTGACTTTCCTGCATTGGTGTTCGTACTGAATATGTTAACAGGCAATGGTTCTTGCATCTTCATCTGATTCTTATAATCCTTTTGAATTTGAGCAACCAGTTCTTCCAATTTACAAACCATAACCTTCGCCTAAGTCAATGGTATAACACACCTGAAATTTGTCAAAACAGTCTTACTTTGACGAACTGCTGTACCCACTGTTCAACACTTTCCTTGTCTGTGGAAATAACATAGATCGTTAAAACTTGTCGCAGTTTATGAATGAAAGGTACCACTTGTTCTCTCAACTGACTACTAACAATGATCAATAATCATTCATGCTTGGGTCTTTGCTCTATGTATTGTTTACACTCCTCTATATCCTGAAATAGTTTGAGATGATTGATGATCGACCGCAATCTTTCTTGTGAATGTTGATTCACTTCGAGATGAACATTTGTATCAAGCCAGATGAGACTGTATATTTCAAGATGATCATCATTATCATTGGTAAGGATATTAGAAGTATCCAGATCAGCCCCAATCATCTAGATAGAAACAATCAAATTGTAACTCTCTTAATGCTGATTTCTTTAATATAAAAATTGAATACAATTTGTTTTAGATATGTTTAAAGAAAAAATATCCTGGTTGAGAGAGTAGCGATACTACAGGGGTTATATCTCATCAGCAAGAAATCTTTCACAAGAATGTGAATATTGATGGGAGTAGAAGACAATTTAGAACGAACTGATTGATAATGTGAATGGTACTCTGACTTCTCTTGCACATGGATGAATTCTACAACGTTTGCTTGCTTCACAAACACATTGCTGGCAAATTTCGGGTTTTTGGTGATCCAGAAAAAAATCTACTAAATCAGTTAAAATCTAGAGTTTATTGCATGATCATCTGGATTGTTGATCAGATATATTTCAATGAGTAGTGACATATTTTGTGTTCTATACTTTATGCGTCGAACTGGTAATAAAATTTGATTTGATGTCGATACAATGTGATGATTACTTTCTGACGTTTTTGAAAATAAAATAAACTCATTTATTTCCCAATAGTACTGTGACGAGAAAAAACCAGAAAGTGCTTGATAATGCGATTTTATCAAGGATGAGCTTACATCTATTTTGATTTTTAAAGTCGTTCACGCGACTAAAAATGATGCATTCTGGTTACGTTCAAATGCGTTAAATTGCTGAGCTCAAAGACAGTCAGCGACATTTCAAGAGTTTAAGCATAAATATATGGAGAAGTAACATGATTTTTTCTGCTTTTCAAATATTTTCTTGTAATTCACTCACCACCGTTGAGTGATTGAAGCAAAAATGCTCAAGTCAATTGCAATGCTGTGTTGTTGCTGATTTGAGTTTATTTTTTGTATGACACTGTTATTCTGGCTTTTTCAAATGATTCGTTATTGACTTTTGCAACATGATAACACTATTTCTGCTTACTTGGTCTCTTTTTTTTCGTCTTCGTAATTCATTAATTCAGATAAGGACTCTATTGATATAAACTAAGCACGGCACATATCTGTCAAATCTGAAAGTTAAATTCAATTGTAGTTTCAAGTCAATGTTCAATACCAAAGAACTTAGATTGCATCATTCTCGACGTGGAAGCATCGATAATATTTAAAGTTGAAGCTTTTAGAGAAATAGTTTCATCTACAGAAAATCTCTTCATCAGAATACGTTTTTTCCGATGAAAGCATCAGTATGGCTCTACTATGCATTCTCAGGGTGTGGGTGTGGGTGGGAGTTTAGAATAATCGCCAAACCACGACAACGGTTGTTTCTGTCTTGGCGGGACTTCTTCAGGTGGAATACTTAATATTATATTTACTTAGATAGTAATTCTTAAATTATGGTATATAAAATTTGAATTACTTTTCAATATAATAATTCAATGTATTACTAATAATATTGGGATTAAAGTTTTTGATTTCAAGTAGTTACATAACCTTTAGAAGCCCACATAGATCAGTCGATGTAGGAATGATGTCAGCGTACTATACCGCATTACATAATCTTGATATCTCTCTTTCGTCATATGCTACTTCCTTTGATCTTATTAAAAATGTACAAAAAATAACAAATACAGCTCGAATCAAATAAAATTTGCATAAGTTTTAGATGAATATTCGATTTTATTACAAAAAAAGCGATTATCTTCCGGATTTGAATGATTCTCAAAAAATGTACACTAAAATGCCTCCGGTTAGATTAGTGAAAAGAATCATGAAACATGGCAAGCAAAGCTCTTCTTGTTCTATTCATCATCCTAATGTTGTCGATATGACGAAACATTTTATTTTTTGCGCATTGATTCCTTCACCAATATGAAAGACGCATCTTGTGACACGAACAACCAATCGATGAGTACTACAGAGTGAATCAGAACATTTCAGACGAATAAAAAACTTTATCATTGAGCAACATACTCTTTTACTCTTAACGCCTTGTTCTTTGACAGTGTCACAAGAGTTTGAAGAATGCACAGGTTAAAAATGTTTTTGTTGTATCGATGTTGAAAAAACTGAAGTAAACATTTCTATTATGAAAAAGTGAATGAAAACTGAAAATAGAAATTATTTCTTGAATGACGAATAAAGACAGTGATGAACATTATATTCATTCTATTAATACGTCAGAGGTGAGTTGCAAAACATTTTTTTTTTAATGATTTTGCAGTGAAACTTGAAATGATAAATGCTCTTTCTTCGCGCGGCGTATAATACTAATGCTTTTATCTCGTGCTATCTGCTGAGTGAGTGTTAATCATACTTGTCTCATTTTGTGCTATTGTTTAACTGTTAGCTCTCCATGAAGGATGTGGATGTGAAAGAAGACTACACCCA